CATCTGTTCCCCTCCCGGCACCCCCCCCCCCCCCCCCATCCATGGCGATACAGAAGATAAAATTCAGAGCCTCGGCTTGAAAATAATTTAGCTGTAAATCAGAATTACTAAACTTTAAAAGCCAGCGACTTAATGCAAAGAATCTCACAGAAAACCTGTTCGCCAGCTAAGAATTCCAGACCTGTTAACACCAGAAAGTGGCAGCAGGCAACCAAAACGTCTTTCAATAACGTCTTTCTTTTGAAAGGCTTCTTTTTTCCACGGCTACTGCCAAACAAACCTCCCCAGCTCCCAAAGAGCCTAATTGATGGATGCCTATTAAATAGAATCCGTGCAAATAGATGTTTTAAAAGAAAATTGGTACGATGTAGAAGCTTTAAGGTCAGCCTCCAAGCTAAACACAGGCCTGATAACGGGAAACTGGGATGAAGGGCAACATGTTCTCAAAACAGATACATGGAATTTCTGGCAGACTTCTGAATTCTTCATAATTCAGTGTTAAGTTTAATCCCTCGTAGACAATGAAACAGAAACCATTATTGCTTATTCCTACTGTCAAACAATCAACTGAAGCCTAGAAATGTGACTAAACAGAGATCTGGTCAGATTTAAAAGAGTTACCACCAGTTACAAATCTCAGTGCGCTTTTTTTATAGGGGCGCACCACTACTGCCTTCTATTTTAGTTAGTTTGCTTTTTTTTTTTATTCTATTTCAAACTAACCTTCCAAAAGCATTAACGAAAGAGATGATTTCTTGTCTTGTTAGCTGGAATTCATAAGACGGGCCGGTTTCTGGCATGTTTTCGATCAGTTTTTGTGAAAACAGGATCTTCAAAGCTGTACCCAAGCCCTGAGTCTGTGCAGTATAGATAAGACAATAGCAAGTGAGACATAAGATTAGCAAGTTTACTTCACTTCCCATCACTTCATTTGAACAGATGAAAACAAAGTCATCATCTTAATTGACTGGGTTCGTTTATTACGATGTACGAGCAGATTTGCCCGGTGTTGCTCGAGTCCTTAACTCAAATAATTTTTCGTTTTCTTCATTTAATTCATTGCTCTGGGGAGGGGCTCAGGATGAGGTTTCAGTCTGCAGGCTGCCCAAGGAAAAGAGGACAACCCCATCCCTCTCTCACTGCAGCAGCTGGGGGTCAGGTGAGAAGCACCCCTCCATGGCTGCTGCAGCGGGCAGAGCTGGGGGAGGGGTGCATGTCCTACATCTGGGTGACAGACACACACACACACACACACACACACACACACACACACCCTTTCTTCACCTGTTCCCCCAATGGGGTTATTCTCCCAGTCCCCATCTCTGGCCCTTTACTGCCCCCTGTGGTCATTCTGCAGTATAACGCTCTCCTACCAGACCCCTCCCTCTCCATTTTATGAGAAACAATCAAATTCCAAGCACGTCTCATTGTCCTGGCACAACCAAACCCTGACCTTGCTTTAAGTTAGGATAAGAGGAAGCTGCCTTCCAAATTTGGTGGCCCGAGCTCTTACCGTTTAGGAGTTCTTGAACAGACCGGGGCATGCTCACTCACAAACTCTCCCAAATATACAGTAGATATTGCAGTAATCCCTAGGAGCCCCAGTCAAGAATCAGAGCTCCTTGTGCTAGGCACCGTATAAATAGAACAAATTGCTTATTGGACTTACCTGCAATTTTCCCCACAGACGACATTTTAAACATCCAACACAGTCCATGATTCTTGAAATATTCCTAAAATGGAGCCTAAATTCCTCCTTTAAAAAAAAATAGAACTTTTAAATGCAAAACATCATTATGACACGGTTATTAATAGATTTTAAAATCACATGTCAATTAGTTAGTACTAAGGAAATTGTTTTAGGCACAGGAGGCCAATAGAGGTGCCATAGCCCAATCCAGCAGGGAGAGAGTCCAGCAGGCTGGAAGAAGCTGGGGCAAACCTGACCAATCAGGGCAAGGAGCATTCAGCCAATCAGGGCCAATCTGTGCCCTATAAAAGGCTGCAGAGCTGAGGGGAACTCATTCTTGCTCTGACCAGCAAGGGAAAAGGGGCTGGGTTCCAGTAGGGGAGGGAACCAACAGCCCTTTGGAGAGAGCAGGGCTGGGCAGGCTCCGGAGGGCTAAAGAGGAGCCCCAGCCGGATACTGGCCAGGCTGTGTAGACCTTAATACAACGGCTGAGAAGGTGCAGGGAAGTGGTCCAGGGAGTATGAGCAATTAAGGAAGTGAAAGGGGGCAGGACATGGCTTCTGCCAGAGGGTCCCTGGAGCAGGACCCAGAGTACTGGGCACGCCTGGGCTTCTCCCTTGCACTGGACCTTGCCACCGTGGGCGTGGCCTTTACAGACTGCACCTCGCCCCAGGTGCAGGGGCACAGGGCTAGACTTCGGGGCTGCAGCTGGCTGCTCAGGCAGGTGTCTGGACAGAGGACTGCTGCTGCCCCCAGAAGGGAGAATGGAGTGGTGGGCACTGCTGGGGGGAGGGCAAGAGTACAGTGGACCAAGGGAGCAACATGGGTGCAAAGTCAGACGGAGGAGATGACGACCAGAAGGCGAATGCCCGGTGTGACCAGCAGGGGGCGACGAGTCCAACCTGCTACAGGGCTCTATCAGGCACCATGGACCCTTACATCTACCCATTTCCCAGACAGGTTTTGTGGTGCTCAGAACACGAGTGAATACGTTGACTCCAGCTAGATATTTCTAGTCTGTGGCTTGAACCTCTGTAAATCGGGACTCCATGGTCCAGATGTTCCAGGACCAGCGATTCCCGGTGGAAGGCTGGCCACTGGGCTCCCTGCAGCTGGGCTGCTGTGTACAACCCAATGGGCTGCCCAGCACGTGCAGGAGCCTAGTGTGGTGCTCAGAACACGAGTGAATACGTTGACTCCAGCTAGATATTTCTAGTCTGTGGCTTGAACCTCTGTAAATCGGGACTCCATGGTCCAGATGTTCCAGGACCAGCGATTCCCGGTGGAAGGCTGGCCACTGGGCTCCCTGCAGCTGGGCTGCTGTGTACAACCCAATGGGCTGCCCAGCACGTGCAGGAGCCTAGTGCGCCGCGGGGGGGGGCCCTGGCGGCGCGGGGGGGGGCGGCCAGGAGGCTGGTGGCCACTCCAGGGCTGGGGAGGCTGGTAGCAGGGGTCCAGATATGACCTCCTCTGCTCCGGCAAAATCCCTCATCCAAAGGTGCTGGACCAGGGAGTTCCGACCTGTAGTAACTTAAGTATTTCCATGTCTAAAGTACCCTATTCAGTCTGATAACCCAATGTGAGAAATACTGTACCTTGTTAGCATATAGTTTCAAGAAGGGGGGCACAAGGTGAACAAATACCTTTAATTTAGCAGCTTCCTTTTTATTTCCGGCAAACAGAGAGTTTTCATTGAAGTGCAAAGGGAAAGACCTGACGTGAGAAGAGAAACAAAACGGAAGATAAAATTTCCAAAAATCACCTAAGTGATAGGCGCTTCCCATCCCATTTTCAAGAGATTTAGGCACTTTGGCTCCTATGTCTCATTGGGTATGTCTACACTGCAATGCTATTTCGGGATACCTCTTTTGAATGTGTCCACTGTTTCGAAATATCCTTGTAAACCTCATTCTACGAGGAGTAAGGATGGCTCAAAATAGTGCTTTATTTTGAAATTTGGCGCTGTGTAGAATTTGCGTTACGCAAACTGTATATCTTTTGAGTTTCGGGTGCTGTGCACACACCCGTTGAAAGTGAAAGACAGTTCGACACCTAAGTCACTTGTGAAAATGGGATTTAGACTCCAAAGTCACTTGGATTCTCCATTCGGAATCTCTCCTATAGTGTCATTTCAATTTATTGCATGTACTTCAAATTCTCACAGCAAAACGTCATTTCATTACGACTGCTAAAAGATCTCCGATCTGCGGCGCCAGGACGAGCCTGACACCGAAAGTGGAGCACCCACAGGGACACTGCTCAAAGAAGAAAAATAAATGATCAATGTCTCAGTCACAAACAATAAGAGATGGGACACGGGAAACGGACAAACTAGAGCCTCTACAGAGGCCAGATTCTAAACTTAGCTAACATGCCTCATACATCCAGTATTGGAGAATTAAGACCTTCTCTTTTTAGATGTTTTTAATATTATTTTGGACTGAAATGTAAAGCTAGTATTAGAGTTCTGAAGTTCACTAAGATAAAATAAGTTAAATTCCATTCTGCTCTATCTTAAACACAACCTAAACTATTCAACAGTGGAGTTAGTACCTGATTTTGGTATCTGAATTTAGATACTTGGGCATATCACTGAGGCCAAGTCTACACTAAAGGGGAAGGTAGAATCAAGATATGCGGCTCTAGCTGCGTTAATTATGTAGCTGGAGTGGACATAACTTGATTCGAGTTTCCCCGCCATCCCCACAGTGGGAGGACGGGAGCAAATGCTCCCATTGGCTTCCCTTACTCCTTGCAGGAGCAGCCACTGCCAACGGGGGCATCCTCTGAGTTTGATTTAGTGAGTCTTTACTAGACCCACTAAATCAAACTCTGAAAGATTGATCACAGTGGCATCAATCTTCCCCAGAGTGAAGACATGACCTTAGCCTTGCTGTTCCTCAGTCCTTCATCTGCACAAAGGATATAACAGCACTGCCCAGCCCCACTGAAGTGTTGTGAAGTTAAATGGCTTACACAACAATGTAAAGTGCTTTGAGATCTACCGAAAAGCTCTGTGTGATGATTATTATTACTGGAGATACAATATCATTAGCTGTCCCATATCATACAACGACAGAAATTTTTTTTTCTAATACACACGCAGTAGGAGAGAATAAGACATATTCATAGCTGCTCACTATCAAATGTATTTACTTGGTTAGTTGAAGGACTTCCAGGAGCTGGTTTTTGGTTTCTCGATCTTTATTTTCATTCCCCGTGAACAGCTGGAATCCTGGGCGCTCAAAGAATGGCAGAACTTTTGACATTGCCCGCAATTCAATTAGGTAGAGGAAATACAGATTCTTGAGCCTCTTGGGACCTTCTCCTCGAGTAAGGACTTCATCAAATCTGTTTTGAAACTCGGTAAGGTTGTGTCCCCACTTTGTCCCTGACCACGTATCTGAGAGAGGAGAAGAAAAGGAAAAGGGCAGCTTTGAAAACCGGGCCATAAATGTCTTTCCCACTATGCCATGCATGTGGTTACGGTTAATTTTTAGCATTCAAAGTTTACAACACTCAGACCGGACCCGCACACAAAGTTGTACTGGTTTTTTATAGTGGATTTAAAACCCAACCTGCTATAAAACCCTGTGTGGACATTCTGAAATCATCTTAAACTTAGCTTATATTGGTACGTTTACAGACAAAGCGCCTTCATTAGATTTAGTTTGTAAACAGAGCTACACGGGTCTAAACTGACACTACCCCCTTGATAAAGTTGTTTTTTTTAACCTGATTTAATCTAGCTGGTGTCATTACATGACCACAAGGCCTCAGCAGTGTCCAATCCACTGTTCTTTGTTCAGCAAACATTGACTGATGCCCCATTTCCTTTGTCTCTTCATTCCTACCCTCCGTGACCATTAATTCATTGCAAAATTTAAAAAGGCATCTTTGTTTTGGGATGGTCTCCGGCGAAGGAAGACCGAGTCGCTGTCCCTGTTTCCCTGCAACAAGAACGAATGCTGGGCCGAGAGACGTGGGAGCTCCCGGATGCAATGAGCTATGTGCTGCACTTCTAGGGTGTGTCTAAACAACACCCCTCTGTCGGCAGAGGGATGTAAATTAGACACATCGAAAGTGCAAATGAAGCCGGGATTTAAATATCCTGCACTTCATTTGCATAATGGCGGCCGCTGCTTTTTTTTTCGAAATGGGGCTTTTCGAAAAAGACAGCAGTTTAGACGGAGCATTTTTGACAGATCCTGTACTCCTCATTTTTTGAGGAGCTTTCAAAACGGAGCATTTCTGACGAAAACGCCCCGTTTCAAAAGATCCTCAAAAAATGAGTACAGGATCTGTCGAAAATGCTCCATCTAAACTGCCGGTTTTTTTCGAAAAGCCCCATTTAAAAAAAAAAAGCAGCGGCCGCCATTATGCAAATGAAGCGTGGGATATTTAAATCCCGGCTTCATTTGCACTTTTGATGTGTCTAATTTACATCCATCTTCACAAAAAAGGAAGAACGAGAGGAACAAAGGGAGAAGAGCGGCTGCTTTCCATGTCTGTCTCCCCCCACGCCCTCTGCCTCCCCCAGAGCCGACAAGGGGAGTTCAGCGGTGTCACCGGCAATCCAGCGTCTGCTGAAGCACTGGCGAGTGGTAGCTTAATCGCTGGGCTGTAAGGAAGTAGGGCCTAGTTGTCAAACTTGGGACAAAGGTCTATGTCCACCTCTGCTCCAGAGCACCACAGGTAGCATTGTGTCGCATTACAGAAAGGATTCGGATGCACTGAAGAGGGTCCAGCGGAGGGCGACCAAAATGATGAGGGGCTGGAGCACATGATCTACGAGGAGAGGCTGAGGGATTTGGGCTTGTTTAGTCTGCAGAGGAGAAGAGTGAGGGGGGATTTGAGAGCAGCCTTCAACTTCCTGAAGGGAGGTTCCAAAGAGGATGGAGAGAGGCTGTTCTCAGTAGTGACAGATGGCAGAACAAGGAGCAATGGTCTCAAGTTGCAGCGAGGCAGGTCTAGATTGGATATTAAGAAAAATATTTCCCTAGGAGGGAGGTGAAGCACTGGGATGGGTTCCCTAGGGACGTGGTGGAATCTCCATCCCTAGAGGTTTTTAAGTCCCGGCTTGACAAAGCCCTGGCTGAGATGACTTAGTTAGGGGTAGGCCTGCTTTGGGCAGGGGGCTGGACTCAACGACCTCCCGAGGTCTCTTCCAACCTTAGGATTCTATGAGAGCAAAGCCAGGCCCCAAACCCTGCTGGAATGGGCTACCAGCTCATATTTTACTAAGCAGGGGAAGTCAACTCCCATTCTCCGCTGATGGCAGAAGCAGCCTGGCTCTCAGCAAATGAAGGCAGAAGGTCCCGCTCACCTTGCAAGAGGTACCTGGCGCTCAAATGGATGTTGATGCTTGCATGTAGGCCAGAAATGAGTCTGTAGAAAGCTCGCTTCTCTACGCAGAGGCCTGAAAGGAAAAAAAAGAGTCAAAAGGTAAAATAACTAAGCCGGTTTGAATTTTCTTCCTTTGCAGTTTGCTTTGGCAATCAACACCCTGCCCTCCCCACCAGAGAGAGCCTATTGTGCATCACGCATAGCCATTACCTTTCAGCCAACGGTAAAAGGCATGTCCTGGAAACAAAACAAAAAAAAAAAAGAATTACAAGAGCTTCAATAGTGCTGGGAATATTTGACCAAAGAAATTACCCAATACATGGCACAACTGTGTGTGCGCTAGGGTTGCCAGATGGTTTCAACAAAAGTACCAGACATACTTGACATGACATCACAATCGACATTACATCTGATTTAGAAAATACAGGACATTTCTATTTTCTCAATTTGTTTCCCGGACAGAAAGCTCAAATACTGGATTGTCTGGTTCAAAACCGGACCCCTGGCAACTCTAGTGTGCGCTGAGAACTGCAGTGAGCAAAGCAAGTAGGAAAACGTTAGAAGCCAAGAGGGAATCCACCCATCTGGGAGGTAATTCTTGTCACAACGTCACAGGAGGACGGGGGAACAGGCTCAGGACAGGATCGGGCAATCCAAACGCCACGTCGCGCACACACACACACACACACACACACACACGTCACTGCGGAGTTGCAGACTACATACACACACACACCAGTCACTGTGGAGTTGCAGACTACACACACACACACACACACACACACACACACACACACACACCCACACTGGGGCCCCCCCACACACACACACACACACACACACACACAAAAAATGGGCTGCAGGATTGGGGCCTAGCACAAAGAGCGCCGCAAAGCCCACCATGGCCACACAAAGACAAGCCAGCCCTGCCATGATTTAAGGGGGCTGGGTTTTGAAAAGCACGGGGGGGCTTGTCGATGCAGCAAGAGAGACCCAAGGCAGCACCTCTCTGAGCCTGGGTCAACTCCTTCAGGCTGGCACTGTGGAGCTAAGAATAGCCACGCACATGTTCCGGCTCGGAAAGCAGGCAGGGGTCCAGAGGACTGAGTCAGTCAATCCACGAACCTGGGCACCTAAAGCCCTTCAGCTCTTTTGGAAACCCCACCCAAAGGCTGTTCTGTTCTCCTCAGGAGTCACACAGATTCCTGGATTGCGAGGCCAGAAGGAACCACTGTCAGTATCTAGTCTGATCTCATGCAGAACATGAGCCAGAGGAGTCCCTCCTCCCCCAGTAATTCCTACATGAGAATGGCTAGAAAAATATCCAATCTTGATGTTAAAATGATCAGGGGTGTAGAATCCACCCTGACTCTAGTTGTTCCCCTGGTTAACGGTTCTCACAGTTAAAGGTTTACACCTTATTTCCAATCTGCATTTGTCTATTGCCAACTGGATTGTGTTAGATAGGAGCGGTCCGAGGCCGGCTGCGGCAGCTGGTGCCCCAGGCGGAAGGTGCGATTGGCGCCCCCGCCTGCATGGCCATCAATGGCTGTGATGTCATCATGGGGCGCCCCGGCGCCCCATGACGTCATCATCGGGCGTCCGGGCCAGCAGCGCCCTAGGCAACTGCCTCGTTTGCCTAGGCTCACGGGCCACCCCTGGTGTTAGACCTTCCTCTGCCAGGTTGAAGAGGCCATAGCTAAAGATCTGTCCCTCACGTAGCTACTTACTGAGTGGTCTGGCCAGCTCTTAAGCTCCCCTTTGTTAAGCTTAAGCAGATTTGTAGCGATAAAGCTAAACAGACCCATGCAAGAGACACTGAACGTAGGCAGGTTTCTAGAGGAGTCCCATTTTTGCCTGAGTAATGCCTCTGCTAGCCTTGCTAATGCTTCAGACTGTGGAATTAGAAGAGGCAGAAGTTCCATATCCATGGGGGTGAGGGGAAACCATAAGTCACTCACCATCATTAGCTCCTGGGAGCAGGAAAAAAAAAAAAAAAAAAAAAACACACAAAAAATTAATTCCAAAGTGCAAAGACTATTCAGATATTGTTAAATCGACTCAGACAAGAGAATAAATAGTGCTGGGGTGTTTAAAAGCATTCTACGAGTGTGTGATAGATTAGCTCATGCCAGCACTGTAAAGGCAACTGCTATAAAGTATTAAGATCACTCCCCAGGGCTTTAGGGGGAAGGAAAATCATCCTGGGATTAGTAAGCACAGGGCTGGAAGGCTGGCAACCGGATTTCCTTTTTTCACTTCTGCCAAAGACTTCCCACATGACTTAGGTCCCTAAATAACTTACCCGTCCAAAGCTCATTCACAGCTAAGGCCAGGTCTACGCTAGTCCCGGAAGGTCAGGTGCAGGACACAACTCCAGCTACATAAAATACATAGCTGGAGTCGGCATACTTTAAGCCGAGCTTGGTGCCGTCTTCACAAAGGGAGGCCGATGGGAGCAAACACTTCCATCAGCTTCCCTTACTCCTCGCTACTGCTCAGCATTCAAGCCACCCTCTGCATTCGATTTAGTGTGTCTTAACTAGATCTACTAATTCGAATGCCAGAAGATCGATCTCTGGCCCGGCAAGTGAAGACATGGCCTAAGGAAGTCTCATATTGACTTCAAGGGGTCAAATTTTGTATACTTTATCTTACACATATAACGCTATAAGGTCCTCAGAAGGTGCCACTCTGATTTTATTTTCCTTTGTCTATTTTGTCCAGCTACATTGCTCTTTGCATACACTCATTTTATTCATGCGTTAAAGAATGAATCCCAGCAGCTTTTGCTGACAGAATTCAGTTTCTCTTGGCTCAAGTGAAAATCCAATCCCCAGACTTCTCTTTTGCTAACCCCTAATATGATGGAAATTAACTGTCAACACAAATGCTGGGACTGCTGCAATTGGGCAAACATTTTTTCAGGCTTTAATATACAAGAGGAAGCATGAACAACAGGGTTAGATTTCAACTGGAGAGGAGAGAGGTGGTGTGGTCTAGTGGCTAGGGTAGCAGACTGGGTGTCGGAAGGCCTGCAATCTATTCCCCGCTCTGCAACTGACCTGTTGTGTATCCTTGGTCACCTCACTTCTCTCTGTGTCTGTTCTCCTTGCCACCCTTTGTCCATCTTAACTATTTAGATCAAGACTCCTAGGGCAGGGTCCAGTTTTTACTAGATGCTTGTAAAGAGGCTAATACAAGGGACATTATTTCACAGGGACATTCTCAAATGCTCTTCAGTATCTTCAAGCATAAAACATGAAGCAATTCTGTTCCCAGGCAATGTCAAAGCTCGCGCTGATTTCAATGTGGATTTCAAGCGGCTGACTCAGACAGTTTTTTTCTGAGCAGCTAGTTACCCACCAAAACATCATCCCTCTGCAGCACCTTTTTATGGTACGCACACACAGTCCTAGGTTTATAAGCCATTTTTCTTTTTAAGTCAGAGCCAGCATAGTAGCTGTCATCGTTAATGTCACCAAAACTCATGGGCTGCCAATCAGCCTAGTGGTTTGAATAAATGACTCACCTCTACCAGAAGCCAAGGGAGTTAAAGGTCTTCTTATGTTGTGAGGCCTAAGAGACAAAATAATTGAAATGTGTAATAGCAATATGTATGTAACAGTCACTATGCCCTGCAAAAACTATTTACGAGTTCATAAAAAAATCCAGCGACCCAGAATGGAACCAAAATGTTTCCTCTACCTATACAAATGTAAAGATGGTCGACAATACAGGAACAAAGAGGAATCGGGCCACACTTGCATTGTCTTTAAATTAACACAAAACAAAAGTTTTTCTTACGATCAGATGCACTGCAGACCAGCAATCCCAGAACATGAGGAAATCGAAGTAACATACACAGGTCAGTCAGAACATGTAATAACCATGAACCGGGTAGGTCATCTGCTGTCTGAACATAACTGTCTAAAAATCCGGTACGTAGCAGCAGGCCTTGAAGAACACACACACTCAGGAGCAGGAATTAGAACACTGAGTTCAGGAAGCTGGAATGAAGCAGGAAGCAAGAAGCAGGAAAGCAACCCCTCCCCCCCAAAAAAATTCATTGGTACCAGGTAATCCTGTAGGCCAATGATTCTCAACCAGTGGTATGAGTACCCTTTGGGGTACCCGAGAGAAGTCTGGGGGGGGGTACGTCAACACAATTGAAATTTGGAGAAAACTGAATTTTTGTTTTAAGTTTTACAGCACTTTATTATTTTTGTACTTTTTACACCCAAAAATTTCATTGCCTGCCTGCTCCGATTAAGTTGTTCAAACAGATGTGTTGCAATGGAAGAAAAAAAATTGTTTGTCTGAAAACTAAGTACTCAGAGTACATAAAAAAAAATTTTTTTTAAGGGGTACTTTATAAAGAAAAGGTTGAGAAACACTGCTGTAGGTTATATCTCTGAGTCAGCTAAAATTGATGTTCTTCTTGTAGTGCAACTTCTCCAACTGGCCACATGATGTCATCACACACAGAAAGAACATCTACTTCCCTCTCCGGTCAGTAGCAGTATCTCGCACTCTTGCCCCGCTCTGCACCTCGCAACCCGTAAGATCATGCCACGAATACCAAAAACGCTTCCAGTCCGTCGCTTAACATGTGCCATTGCCCAGGATACAACGCATGGAGGCTTGCATGGATTCGGTCTCTGAAATATGCCTATTTCCTAGTCACATCAGTCAGCCACAAGGACAGCAAAGAGTGGAATGAACTTTTTTTTGACAGCACAGACAAATGGGTCCTCGTGTCAGCTGAGGAGATGATGGCCAATTACATTCATGAGTGTACGCCAAATATCCTATAAACCATAACGACACAATAGGGAAGGGCGTAGCAACGTTCCTCCCAGATGCAACCTACGCAGCCTCACGATTATCTCCTTTCCTTGGGGATGATACACACCAAATGTAGGATGTGCCAATCCTCGTCAGAAAGTCTTCGATACAGAGTGTCCTCTGATAGGGATGTTAAATATTGGTTAATTGAACAGTCGATTAACCTTATGAATTCTTATTGGTTACTCGACTATTCTATAGTCCCCGGGGGTGGGGCCAGCCCCCCCCCTGAGGAGCCCCCTGCCCCCCACGCTGCTGCCTCTGATTCAGAGGCAGCAGCACGGGGTGCCAGACAGGTGCTGGTCTATGAGGGGACCCAGTTTAGAAACCAGCTCTCCTCGCTGACTGGCTGCCTGACACCCCGTGCTGCTGCCTCGGATACAGAGGCAGCAGTGTGGGGTGGCAGCAGTCCCTGTCCAAGGGGGGGCAGGGCTGAGCTCCCAGAGCTGGCGCGAGCCAGAATGGAGCTGGGTTGCCTGCCTGCCTGGCTCTTACTACACTTTAAATGCAGAGCCGCAGCAGGGGTAGGTCCAGGACTGAGCCAGGCTGCTGGCCAGCCTGCTAAAACATTTCCTGTGGAGGCGGGGGGAATGCATGTCGTCTATCACATTAACCTATAAGCTTTTGCTGATCGGTTAATCGACTACACTATTACATCCCTATCCCCGGATTTGAAACAAAGCTCTGTGGTAGGGAACATCGCAAATTAAGAGCTGCAGCCAGAAGTGAGGCCTTACAAATTTAGGAACGCAAAGGGCTAATTGGGTAACGCTCTATAACCATCAGCAGCGGGCAACCATGCAGTGCAGCTGAGAGGCCAGTAACATCCTCTGCAATTCTCTGCCACGGTCTGTCTATGGCTACTGGCTTCAGAGGGGCTGGAGGAGCGGTAGTTCTATGCAGCGTGTGCGCCAAGCGCGCCTTCACAGGAGGTTTAATGTCAGAGCGCAGCGCTGGCCACCAGTTATAAATGTGCGGCTGTTCCTTCGTTTGTAACTCCCAAATGACTGGGACCGCGCGTTGCAACCCTGCTGGGACGAGGACCCCGGCTTCTCTGCGTAAGGTCTGTTGAGTGGCCTGTGCTTTACCAAGAGCGTGGAACAAACGTCATAGAACGCACACAGAGTTCTCGTAAAGGCCAGGTCCATCCAATTCTCTCATACAGCATGTCCCACCTGGCCCGGCTTAGCCTCTTGCCCAATGGGCACGTCTTTCGGCACAAACCTCCAGCTGCTTCTGCACACTAGGACACCAACCCCGCAGAATTTCTCCAAAGAGCATCAGCAAGACAATGACATCGCCCTTGGCTATGTAATAAATTCAAGCCATCCCTCTGCAACGGAAGAAGCCAGCCCCCAGGTTGAGGCTGCCCTGCAGGTCAAGGACTTTATGACAGAGGCTCAAAGAGGCAAATAACCGGTGCCTAATGTCCAAGGGCTTCCCACTAGGTGGCGTACACTAGCAAAAACCACTGCCAAGAATTCTCGCGCAGTCTGGGAATGCTTTGCTTCTGTCGGGATACAAATATAACCAGCCATCCCTCCTGGAGCAGAGCTAGGCCCGGCCCCCATACGGATGTAGAAGTATAACCGTTTAAACGGTTACCTGCAGCTCCAGCCCCACTCTTGGGGAGCTGGCTGCCATCCCGCGCTGCTGCCTCTGTATCAGAGGCAGCAGCACGGGGGCGGCAGCCAGCTCCCTGGGAGCAGGGCTGCAGACGGGAGCTGCTGTGCGCCAGGAGCTGATGCACTGCAGCCTTTGACACAGCGGCAGGGCTGCCAGAGAGCTGGCTGCCACCCCACGCTGCAGGTGTGTGTAACCGCTGAGATATTCAGTGGTTACCCAATTACATGCTTTTTATCATCCCTAATCCTCAATAGCATGCATCAGCCTGACTCACTCCTGGGATCAAAATAAGCATGAGATTGGATAGGACAGGGTCTCAAATGCATATTTTTCCTCTTCAGTCCAAACCAGCTGGCCCCGGCCCTGTGTTAAATACCACAGCAGCTCAGCAAGGGAACTAAAATGGGGCACAGCATGACCACCTGTGTTTAAAGCTAGGCTTTACATATAAATAAATATAAACCGCTACCATCCATGGGTAATGGCGTCAAGGAAGCAGCTTTCATACCATCAGCCGACAGAGAACCCCTTAGAGAAGCTACGCCGTCTTTTGCCAGACTGCGCTTAACCATGTTTAACTTTTTGCCAGCTTGTCTGAGTTGGGCTAGTCTTGGTCCCGAACAGCATTATGCTCAGGCAGGCTCTTAGCAAAGATGAAAATGTCATCATGCAATCTAGATATTATCAAGGAGCTGAGAGACGAGTGTCTGAAATACCTTGGGAGCAGAGACACACCCAAAAGGGAGTTGTTGATAGCAGAACCTCCCAAATGGCATGCTGAAAGTCAATAACTATGAACGTTCAGCCACAGGTATTACCCAATCTGGTTATTGACCATCAAACACAGAGACAATCCCAAGTCCATTTACTCAGCATATCACCTCTTTGACAGTATTGAAACGGCTCAGGTTTCGCATTAATTGTCCTAAATTCTACGCGCTGTCAAAAGCTGCCATTCATTTTGTACATGATCACCATGGGTGAGCGCCGTTTCTGTAGACCCTTCTGCTTCCCAAAAGATGCCATTATCTTTCATGCGCTGCAATTCTGCTTGGATCTTAAGCAACCCAGGAGGAAGAATGTTAGCTTCAGCCCCCATCTCCACCATGCACCTGGGTGGCGCGCTATTCATTTCTACAATACTGGACACCCACTCTAGTATCTTGTGATGTGAGAAGACCCAAAGGAAACATCAAGGTGTCCGGTAAAGGTGGTCTGCTGCAGTTCCACATTGACAATACGTTCTTGAGGTCTCCTACTGTTGTGAGTCAGCGTACCATGGCACTAAAAACCATAATGTCCCCAGATTCACAGTCCTGGGCCACCGGCTGCAAACAACATGCAAACTCATGTCTGGTTTCTTTGGGCTGCTGGCAAGCTTGAAAAAACATTTTCCTCTTTAGCAGAACACAATCCTCCGTCCCAAAATGCTGGCTGAGGTGTCGCACAGCTACATCACAGCACTAGGGCTCCTGGTGTGCATCATAAATACCCGTGCCATCCTGGTCTAAGCCAGGGCTACTCAGCTTTGGAAGCCCCAGAGGCCACAAGGATACTCACAGCCAGGGGCGGCCCATGAGCCTAAGCAGACTCGGCGGTCGCCTAGGGCACTACCGCCACCGGCCCGGGCATCCGATGATGACACACCCCATGATTACATCACGGACATTGACGGCCGTGCAGGCGGGGGCGCCGATTGCGCCTTCCGCCTGGGGTGCCAGCTGCCGCAGCCGGCCTCAGGCCGCTCCTGCCCACAGCACATGCCGAGGGCTGCAGCTTATGTGTGATTGCATGTACATGCAAATATATATGCAAATAGCTTCTTTCCCACAGTGCCCTGGCGCTCCCAGCACCTCCTCCCTGGGGGCTAGAAACACCGACACCCTGTACCCATCTGGTCCAGACAGCCTGTCCACTTGCATCTTTCAATGCTCACCGCGCCTGGGAGACGCCTTGCCATTGTGGAGGCCATGTTCAAAGGATCCCACCCGCAGGCCGCCAGCTGAGCCCGGCGTAAACCCAAACCGCCCCGCAGGCCGCAATTTGGCCACATCAGATTGTTGCAGGGCAGTTCCAAAAACTCCACATAAAGCATCGCCAGTCAACAGCTGAAGAATGTCCCAGGAGCATGGGTTTCAGAATAAAAGCACTTATTGCCGTAATGTTACATTGCTATACATCCTGCAACAGCACTCCCAAATCATGGGGTAACTGAAGCAAGACACACAGGTAGGTGGTCAATCAGGACACATAAGAATCATAGATCAGTTAAGTCAGCAATGTTCTCAACCAAAAATGGAAGGTATGTAGCATCAATCCCTGAGTAACCTCACATACCCTACACTATGTGTGTGCGTGCACACCCACAGGGACACTGAGTTCAGCAAGCAGGAAACAAACAGGGGAAGCATGCAGTAACAAGGAAGGCGACACAACACACAGACACACACACCCCCT